GACTGGGCCGGGGAGCCGAGGGGATCGGGCTGGCGAGGGGCCCGGCTGCGGAGTGGGGGGAGGTCCGGCCCGTGCGGGGAGCTGGCTGCAGAGCCGCCCGAGAGTGCCGCAGGGCCTGCGAGGAGCCCCTGCCCAGTGGGACAGCAGTCTCCAGCCAGCCCTGCCCCAGGAGTGACGTTACTGCAGTAGAAGTTCCTAAGCTCCACTAGTTTAGGCCCTAGCAGCTGGACTTGTTCTTCCTCTCCTCATTAGGAATATGTATGCTCTTCGGTTGGTAACTTCATGTGTTTTCTAACTCTGCACTCGATCATTAGGGAGAAAGACCTTGATGAAGTTTTGCAGACGCACACGGTGTTTGTCAATGTTTCAAAAGGCCAGGTTGCAAAGAAGGAAGATCTTGTTAAAGCATTTGGAACAGATGACCAAACAGAAATCTGTAAGATGGTAAGTTTTACTTACTTTGCAGTATAGAGTTATATACTTTATAAAAGTTGGAGAAGATTTTTTTGCCATGTATTCTACACAAGTGTCACACAGATATTGTAGATTGGTTTGTTACTGGAAGGTCTTCAGAGAATGCAGCACTGCTGTAGGCAATAGGGTCATTTGTCTGATAAAAGACAAGTAGAAAGGAGTATTATGTGTTTGATATAGTATTAAGTTTTATAAAAACCTCTACCTGAAAAGAGTTCTGAATGTTCTGTATGGTGTATAGCGCTGATCTCTACAGACAGGCAAAAAAAGGTTTGCCGCTCCTGAAGAATTTATCATCTAAGGTATGCTATTAAGGATAGAGAGTATGGGAAGGAATTATTGCTTATTTTGGACAGTCCAATTAAATGTTAAGAAAAAAACTTAATCCTTAGTACGATACAAGTTATGGGCTTGTTTTAGGTGATGATACTTTAAATAATGCTGCACTTCTCTTTTTGTAGTTTAGCAAATAAGAAGCATTTCTTTTATTTTTTTTTTTTGTTTCTGAAGTCTTACCAGTGTTGTTTGTCATAATGATATGTGGTTATTCTTTTTTAATACTTAATGTTTAACCAAACCTTTCAAGTCAATGGTAAATTTAACAAAGTTAGTACGATTTTTTACTCTTTAGTCAAATCTGTGACACTTATTAACTAGAGTCTTTATTTTTAACTGGACAGATTTTATCAAAAGGGGAGTTGCAGGTATCGGACAAAGAACGGCACACTCAGCTGGAGCAGATGTTTAGAGACATTGCAACTATTGTTGCTGACAAATGTGTGAATCCTGAAACAAAGAGACCGTACACAGTAATCCTTATAGAAAGAGCCATGAAGGACATTCACTACTCTGTCAAACCAAACAAGAGCACAAAACAACAGGTTAGTTTTCTCTTAAAATCAGCTTACACTCGGAGATGTTATTTTCAACTGTAGTTTCTTCATTCACATTCACGTAGGGATCAAAAAAACCGTGTGACCTAAAGCCCACAGAATGTTTAGTCAGCTGGCTGACAGATAAATGCTAGAAACAAGCAGCTTCTGAAACTCATGTACTTTGTTCTCTAATTGTTTAGGGAGGAAAGGGGAAAAAAAAACTAATTAAAGCAGTAATAGTGGTATGTCGGAAACAAAAGTAATTGTTTTATGATTCATTTTAATTGAGGTTATAAATCGAGCTTTGCATCTGAGCCACATAGGTTTATATTGTTCTGCAGTATAACTACTATTTTAATACTATTTTAGACCCTTTTTATAGTATTTTAAGTGATCATCACCACCAAGAACTCTGCCTTGTCATGTTTGTCTACCAAAACAGCATAATATCTGACTCATTCGGCAGAATTCCAGTGAACAATACTGAAAAATGTGTCTGAAGCTGATACAAAGGATTTGAGATGTTGATTGCTGTGGTTTTGGCAGAGTTCAGAGGGTTGTAATCCGTGGCACAGAGTCTGGTTGGAGGCCAGGTAACTAGTGGTATCCCCCGGGGGTCAGTACTGAGTCCAGTCCTCTTCAACTTATTTATCGATGACCTAGATGAAGGGACAAAGTGCACCCTCAGCAAGTTTGCTGATGATACTAAACTGGGAGGAGTGGCTGATACACCGAAAGGCTGTGCTGCCATTCAGAGGGACCTGAACAGGCTGGAGAGGTGGGCGGAGAGGAACCTCCTGAAGTTCAAGAAAGGCAAGTGCAGAGTCCTGCACCTGGGGAGTTGACCTGCTGGAAAGTAGCTCTGCAGAGAAGGACCTGGCAGTGCTGGTGGACAAGAAGTTGACCATGAGCCAGCAATGTGCTGTTATGGCCAAGAAGGCCAATGGTATCCTCGGGTGAGTTAGGAAGAGTGTTGCCAGCAGGTCGAAGGAAGTGCTGCTTCCCCTCTACTCTGCCCTGGTGAGGCCATAACTGGAGTACTGTGCCCAGTTCTGGGCTCCCCAGGACAAGAGAGGCATGGCACTACTGGAGAGAGTCCAGCAGGGGGCTGCAAAGATGATGAGGGGACTGGAGCATCTCTCCTCTGAAGAAAGGCTGAGAGAGCTGGGCCTGTTGAGCCTGGAGAAGAGAAGGCTGAGAGGCAATTTGATCAACGTGTACAAGTATCTGAAGGGAAGGTGTCAAGAGGATGGGGCCAGACTCTTCTGTGTGGTGCCCAGCGACAGGACAAGAGGCGATGGGCACAAACTGAACCACAGGAAGTTCCATCTGAACACGAGGAAAAACTTCTTTCCTGGGAGGGTGACAGAGCACTGGCACAGGTTGTCCAGAGAGGCTGTGGAGTCTCCTTCGCTGGAGATATTCAAAAGCCATCTGGGCAGCTTCTTGTAGGTGACCCTGCTTGAGCAGGGGGGGGTTGGACTAGACGATCTCCCGAGGTCCCTTCCAACCTCAGCCATTCTGTGATTCTATATCTGTGATTCTGTTCTGGTGTTTTTTAAGCAAATGAATACATGCTCTTTATTCTGTATTTAATATCTTTGTAGGCACTGGAAGTGATTCGACAGTTAAAGGAGACCATGCAAATTGAGCGTGCTCACATGAGGTTGCGATTCATTCTTCCACCAAAAGAGGGAAAGAAACTGAAAGAAAAGCTCAAGCCACTGATCAAAGTTATTGAGAATGAAGACTTCCATGAACAGTTAGAAATTGTAAGCCAAAAACGAGTCCTGGGTTTCATACTCAATTTGACTACACATATGCATTTTACTGGAAGAATATGGGGGACCTTTAGATAAGTTGCAAGTTTACCAGAGACTCTGAATCAGAAATGTAGTTGGTTGGTTTTAATTTCACACAGTCATAGTGAAAGATTGAAAGCAGCCTTTGTTGTACAAAGATTGCTGTTTCAGGCTGAAGAGAAGTACAGTGTAATTAGCAGTATTTCTCCAATAACTTATACTTTTTCTCTGATTCATGAGTTTGTACATACAGAGTCTTTAACTGTTATTTGGTGAGTCAGGCCTGTATTTGACAATAGCTGGACAGCTTTTTTAAAAAGAGTATGTAGCAAGATTTGCTATTGCGCAAAAATTGTCAGAATTGTCATGTGCAGCATAGGTAAATGGAACTGCAGAGCTTTTGTGGAAAGACTAATGGATACAGATTGCTTACCAACTGTGAGAAGACCTTCTTAGTAACTAAACAGTAACTTTTTTTAAATGAAAAATATGCTATACCTTGAAAAGGAGCTGATGAAAATCAGATACTATTGCTGATTAAATGTAAATATTTCAGGTGTGCCTTATTGACCCAGGCTGCTTCAGAGAGATTGATGAGCTGATCCGGTGTGAGACAAAAGGGAAAGGAACGCTTGAAGTGCTCAGTCTGAAAGATGTGGAAGAAGGAGATGAAAAGCTTGAATAAAGAAAACCTTTCAGGAATAGTACTTCTTTAACAATATTGTATTAAGTGACTGGTATTAGCCACTGTGTTTTGTTAGACCTTCATGTTTTTTGCAATCTCTTGCTGCCAAATATTTTCTGACGCTAATCATTTGGAATTTTTCCATGCAGTGTTCTTTTTATTGTTTTACACTTGCTTGGGTTACAAATGGTTTGCCTATAGGAGTATTTTGTGTCAGAGCTGCACTAATGGGGATTGAGTTAAGACCTGACATGGAAGTTACTATAGTTTTGTTTTGCTGTGAGGGTTGCAACTGAAGAGTGTTTGACTGATACAGTGCCAAGTTATTTTTGCTTTTAATTACCAGAATTGAGTGGAAGATTTCACATGTCTCTGAGGGGTAGGATTTGTATGTGAGGAGAGAAGCTTTTAGAAAAGTGAGCTATGTTTTCACTTTTAAAGAAACGCAAAGTATGGATGGTATCTAAACTAATTCTTGGCAGCATGAAAAATGACTCACTGGAGATTTAAAAAAAAAAATTACTAACTTAGAGAAAATGTTCTCCAAATAACTTATTCGAAAAATATATTTAGCTACATTAATAAAAATGAATTATCATCTATTTATATATTATAATAGAGAAAGAAAATGATTATTTTTGTTATGGTATAGAGGCTATCTCTGGCAGTGGTGATACTTTTAGTAGGTTAAGGGATAGCCTGCATTTCTGAGCTGTTTGCATTCAGGTGGTGAAATGAACCAAATCTGGAATAGGCAATGGCCTCTAGCTATTGAGCTGGACGGGCTTTTGTTGGACTCTAATTTCCTAGTGGTAAATGTTTGTGTGTGCCCCTTTTCCTTTTTAGTACAACTGAGAGTAATTCTGGCTGCTGTCCTTCATCCTGTGTCTTTTTATGTTGCTTTCTAATATATGCACAGGATTTCCAGCAAGATCCTGAGGCGTGATGTGTAGTTCTTGATAGTTCTATTAACATTTGTTTCAGCCATGTTAAACAAATGCTTTTAAGTTTAACTCTTATATTTCAAAGAAGAAGAGAAAAAAGAAAAAAAAGTACTAAAAATACAAACCATCATTCAAAGCATGTATCCTTGGGTGAATCGAAGCTAAACCAGTAGGAACTTAAAGAGCCTTTGCTATTATGTACCTGTTTCAAAGATGATTGTACACAGCAAATCAGGATTTTCTAGCTGGCTGGCAACTAGAGGTTTGTTTCTGATTAGCATGTACTATATTCATTGTTTACTGTTTACTTTTAGAGCACGTGACCATACCTGATACATGACAGTTAAGCAGAGCTCTAGTTTGTACTGTTGATATGACACTTTCCTTTGTATCGTTAACAGATGTTGTGAACTTTTTAGAATTTATGCAGGGAAATTTGAAATCAGATGGAGAAAGAGAAATTTGACATGTCAGTTGTGGAGTCTGTGCGACTAGATCCTTAGTCGAGGGCTTCCTCTTTAAAGCTAGTTTCTGCAGCGATGTATTGACATGAGCTTCTGCAAGGTTACGTTAAATTCCTTTAGTAATATTTTGGAAAGGCTTGCAACTATGGAGTCCGAGTTCACGGAAGGGCAATGAAAGGAATATTTTCTCTTGCCTCCAAGATAAACTTCCATGATTTTTAAATGCTGCCTAGGAAAGTTTAGTGGCATAATTAGTATATTTGCCATGTGGACACAGCCTGAATGTAGAGATCTGTACATGCATGGGTGGACTGATAAGAGTCCTTGCATGTACAAGCCCTTAACTGTCTTTCAAATGGCCGTCTCTATGCATTCTTTATGAAGCACTGAAGATAATGTTGCTGATATTTAACTTGTCACTGACAATTAGTACTAAGATATAATTCATGAATCTAAAAATGAGACACTAAGTAAGAGCCTCAGATGACATTGGATTGGTAATATTTGATTTCACAATCCTATAATGTCTTTCTTTTCTAATTACAACAGCTAGAGCACAATATGATGGCTGCAGGTTGAAGATCTTGAGTTACAGAAATTTATTCTAGACTAATTTTGTGAGTTTCATGCTAGGAAAGGCATTTCCTTATAAGGCCTTTTTCTAAGAATCGAATGTTAAAATTTTTCTCTTGTAGAGGGAGCTTGGTTTTATTTATAAACAAATGCTTGCATTTCATGTCACGTTTGTAGTTCAGCAAGAATATATGGTAAACATCAGAATAAATCTCAATATTGTTAGTTATTGTGTTCATTTGCAACTCCTGGCCGTGGCAATAGGAGCATAACTCCCTGCACAGTGTTCTCCTGCTAATTAACTGAAGTTTCCAAAGGAACGTGTATAGGTTGTTATAGTCTCATCTTGATGGTAGAAATGTGTGAGCAATTGAGAGGTGAATGCTCTTAGTGGTTTTGAATCATATATATGCATGCTTTTCCTTGAAATTTTCCTCACAACATGGGGTAAGCAATTATATTGGTCTTTTATATGTTGCCAGTCTTTTTAATTGTAACCTTTCTTTTGATCATTAAGGGGGGGGGGGTGGAGTTCATTTTCTAGGGGATCTGTGAAAACACTTAAGTGACAGTAGCTTAATCCTTAACCCAGGAACTTAAATTGCTCAAGAAATGAGCTCTATTTCATTACTTGCAAGCTTCTCTGAAAGGCTTTAATTTCTGAGAAGTCAGCCAGGTAATCTCTCCTGAATTTGAGACAGATAAAAAGCTTTAAAAAGGGAAAAGTGGTCATGTAGTCATGTGGATTTCACAAGAGTGGGTGACAGGAACTGGAGCTAAGAGGAGGAGAACAAGCACAATGGATGTTTAACTGGTAATTACTCATCTTTCTTAATCTGATGGCCACCCCTAAACCAAACTTTTAGGAGTCCTGACCCAATCTTTCTACAGCTGTGAGATGGTGCTACAGTAACCTATCACTTTCTCCTCTGGATGTTGCCTTGTTAGGCTTGGATGGGTCCAGCTACTGGGCTAGCTGAATTCTTTCCCCAAAAGAATATATCGTAATCACAGTGGTGGGAAATAGTCTTTGTACCTCAGTTGGCAGCACAGCGTTTGACTACCTCAAAGAGCTTAGTAATTGCAAATAACTGCTGAAGGACCTCCCAAGAGCCACTGAGCAGGCACAATGGTAGCAGCTGAGCCTCAAGGCAGACAAATGTAAGGTAGTGTATCTAGGGAAAAATAATTGAAAATGGAAGATGCCTTAGAAGAGAAACGCTGACATACGTTGGCATTTGGAAGTTAAACCCCCTCCTGGCCATCTAGGACAAAAGAAGTGGTGCCACCCTCAGGCAGTGCAGGTTTTTTTGGGGTAGAGATTGTTGTTCACCTGTCCCCTGAGTCCTGCATTTTGCGGCCACTTATGCAAAGCGCTCCTGTTGCCTGTAGAAGCAGAGAGGCAAGACAAGAAGCAGCTACCAGTGCAGACAGCCCAGCAGTCGGTGTTAGAGGCAAGCAGGAGCCAGGATGTGGCAGCTGGAGGGTACCTGCGGGTTCCATGCACAGTGGCTGGAGGGGACCCATGGTGCCATGCGTGGTGGCAGAGGGCTCCGGGCACCGGGGTTCCACGCAGGCTCTGGAGCGGTGACCAGGCTCCGTGTGACGTCACAAAGCAGCAGGGACGTTGTTTCCCTGGGGCAGAGGGGCTGCGGCAGCTTCCGTGCACACACACACACACTCAAGGGCCAAGGCGGGACCCCTGCCGCCATGCAGGACCAGAAGACAGACATCAACCAGCAGATCCAGGAGCTGCGTACCATCATCTCCTTGCAAGGTGATGCTCCCTTACCTTCAATGGGAAGCCCCAGTGTGAGCGGCCTATGGGACACCATTGGGATGCTGGGAAGCAGGCTGGGGCTCAGGGACTGCAGTGGGATTGAGATAAAGGTGTCCTGGGAGAGGGTGAAAGCTAATGAGTGACAGCCCCCAGCAAAATGCAGTAGGCATCAGGTTTGGGGTCTGGACTGGTTGCCTCACTGTGTGGGAGGTGGTGATCCCCTGGAGGAAGGGCATGCTAGGGCCCCTAGAGAGGTCAGCTGGGACTGGCCTCCAGAGCATGGCTGTTAGGGTCACCTGCAGGTGCCAACTGAAGGCATGGGCTGTGCATGCACGCATACTGGGAGGCAGGATTCAGCCCAAGATTGCGTGTTTCCAGGCTTTTTCCTTCTGACTGAACCCCTGGGGGAGAGAAGGGAACTGGCTTGTGCAAAGCAGGGAAGCAGCAGTGGGTGAAGATGGGTTGTGCTGTGCCTGGCCGAGTCGGAGGATGGGGACAGCGCATCCCTCTGCGCAGCGCCAACAGCCCTTTAAAATCCTTCAGAGCAAGGGAAGAAGCTTTTCATGCAGTCAGCTGAGGAGAAGCTCAGTCAGAACAGAGACCTGCTCCCCTGCCTGCGTGGGACTGTACAAGATGACATCTGTGCCCTAGGCATTGCTGAGAAGGTAGCTGTGCCCAAGGGCTCTGCTGTGTTCCATTTCATCAGCCTGTGCCCTGTCCCAGCAGCCCATGCCCCTGCCTGTGGCTATCTAGAACCAGCTTCTCTGCTGGGTCCATTTCATTGCCATCTTCACGTCCCACTGGGCACTGCCCATATCTTCCTGTCACTGAGGATGGTTCCTGCAGCACAGTGTCCTCAGAGGCC